AGGGGGGGAGAGCGATGTGTGTATAGAAAGTGTCACTGGAGGAGTCCGGGGGAGAATGAGCCGCGTTCTGACATCATCGGACCTGTACAGCACCGCGTGACTAGCAATGCGCCCAATGCAGGATGCCGCACCCCCGAGCAACGTTACAGGCCACCCCCGCATCTTCCTCCTGGCACTATCCGGGTACGGTCCCCCCTCCTGTGGGAAAGTGTCACAGTGATGGGAGGAAGGAGGGAGGGAGGCTGCACACCTCTTACTTGTCAGCGCTGTCCGCCTCCTCTTCTGATAGGCCCCTCATGCATCACTGGCCCCACCTGCTCTTAGGTCGCTGGCCAGTGATGTAAGAGGCGGCGGGGTTGTTCTTAGGCGGGCCCCGCCTCCTCCTCCACAGCCCACGCCTTCACTGACACAGCTCCGCAGCGGCTGCGACGGGAAACGCGCCGCGACCGCTGCACGCATCACTGACTGTCACCCTTACATGCCATAGCGACCCACGCAGCATCAGAGGGATGCCCTGGCCGGGCCCCATGGCGGCCGCCTGGGTTGCTATGACAATTGTTATGCCGCCGATGAATCTAATTATATATAAAGTTTGGGATTGTGACTCCCCGCCCCTCTGAGACAATAGAAGAAGAATTAGAATTGTGTGTCTATGAAGCTCGGCGTTACCTCCGTACATCACGGTCCCGGTGTTATTGAAGACGACCCGGCACTGGTCCAGCGCAGGAACCGTGTGCAGGAGGTGGAAGGTTCGAAGGTCCCACTAAGCAGAGGGGTTAAGGAAACTGACGGCCATTGTAGAGGAAGCGATGACAGCGTGACCGTCCCGGAGGTAGGAGTCCTCGAAGGGACTGCCCGCTGCTCTTACCCACAGCAACCAATCCATTCACAGAGATTTCAGAGGCTTCCAATGCGGAAGGTGAAAGGTCGGAGTTCCCACGCAGGAGCCTAGCCAGGGAAAGGACAGCGGAGATGGGTCAGCAACCCCTGCGTCACATGACGCCTCTCTCAATAACATCTGCTGTCATTGGCTCCCGGCCTCCTGTGGGAAAACAGTCTACTATTGGACCGATCTGAGGGGGGGGGAGGAACAGGAATTGGGGTGATCTGAGGGGGGGAGGTGCAGGAATTGGGGGTGATCTGAGGGGGGAGGTGCAGACCACTCTGCAGGCAGGATACGATCTCGGTGTTGACGATGACCTCGAGCCCGTTGGGATGGAAGACGCCGCTGATGTTCATGTTGAACTTGTCAAACTTGTGGATGGCTTGAGAGGAGCGAACGTCCCACAGCACCCCATCGTTCAGCACCAGGTCATCGGTGGGGTTGAAGGTGGCGCAGTTCCGCTTGTAATTATTGGCCAGGTCGGGGTTATATAAAGTCAGTAACTTCTGACCCGACTGGATGTCATAAATCTGCAGGAGAGAGAGTCAGAGAATGAGGAGGAGAGAGAGAGAGAGAGTCAGAGAATGAGGAGGAGAGAGAGAGAGAGAGAGAGAGAGAGAGAGAGTCAGAATGAGGAGGAGAGAGAATGAGGAGGAGGAGAGAGAGAGAGTCAGAGAATGAGGAGGAGAGAGAGAGTCAGAGAATGAGGAGGAGAGAGAGAGAGAG